ATATAAAATCAAAATCAGTAAGTAAACATAAAAGTAAAAATGAGAGTAAATATGCAATATAATTATTTTTGCTTTTCAATACCTATATTCATTTTACTTTGTGCTCAACAACTAACTGATAAATCCTTGATTAAAAATAAATCTACAAGGGGACGCCTAGGTGGCTCAGTTGGTTAAGCGGCTGCCTTCGGCTCAGGTCATGATCCCAGCGTCCTGGGATCGAGTCCCACATCGGGCTCCTTGCTCGGCAAGGAGCCTGCTTCTCGCTCGGCCTCTGCCTGCCACTCTGTCTGCCTGTGCGCGCTCTCTCACTCTGACAAATAAATTAAAAAAAAAAAAAAAAATCTTGGAAAAAATAAATAAATAAATCTACAGGGACACCTGGGTGGCTCAGTTGGTTAAGTTGCTGCCTTCAGCTCAGGTCATGATCCCAGCATCCTGGGATCGAGTCCCACATTGGGCTCCTTGCTCGGCAGGGAGCCTGCTTCTCCCTCTGCCTCTGCCTGCCTCTCTGCCTGTGCTCACTCACTCTCTCTCCCTCTGTCTCTGACAAATAAATAAATAAAATCTTTAAAAAAAAATAAATCTACAAACATTTTCAGTATCATTTTAGTGCCTTTAATTCATTTGGAGCTATAAATATGTCCTCTTATACATTTTGTTTAGATCAATTTTTTTGTGTGTAGTGAAACTAATTCAATGGAATTTAAATCTAATTTTGATGGGCTTTTTAATTTACCACTTTTTAGTTCTTGCTACAGTAGACACTTAAAAAGAACTTCTTAACATCACATCCCCATGGAAACATTGTAATAAAGCGGTTTGAACACGAACTGGAACCTCAGCTTCACCATAGAGGTAGAACCTAAGAGACAATTAATCTAATGCATCTGTGTCTTTGTTTGAAAAACAGGCGCAATATTCATATAGGATGGGTTTACTATGGGGATTTAACAAATTAACACCTGGCATGGTACTTAGCAAAAGAAGTAAGTTTAATTTCTTTCACATGTTTATATCAAAAAATAATTTCAAAAGGAGACTTTGGGGAGCAAGATAATTTTCATTCATCCCAATATGCCATGGATTTGTAAATCTACCTCCTCACACACAGTATTATGTTACTGCAGAATGTTATTTATAGGAGGCACCTCCCATTAGAGTTATTGGTAGATATTTATTGGTTTTCCAAGTTGGCCAACAGAGAGGAAACAGGCCAGGAAAGGTAAGCCACACTCAGATATATTCAATACGATTTCCTGGCAATTTCTCTTTCCGGGTCAAATTTTGCAGATATTAAAGACTGTCAACTAAAAAGACTGGGAACAAAATAATGACAAAGAATCCACTAATGACAGTAAGAATTCTTGGCTTAATATTGTAAATCTCTCACAAAATTTTGTTTAAAAAGGTCCTCCCCCCCCCAACCCCCGCCGCCAGTTCCAAGAAATTGCCAAGACTGTAGGTTGAATGCCAGTCAACTATACCAAGTTTCCTATTTGGGCAATTTTTTAACCTCAAAAATACTACATAAAGTTTAATTTTAAAGGCCATAAACCTATTATTTTATCTATCATTTAAAACACAAAATGCCATAATCGATTTATAAAGTGCATTTTAAATAAGTTTCCCATTTAAAAATTTAAGCAAAAATTACACATTCAAAATTCAAAGAACCCAAAACTAGTCTTTCCTCACATTATATAAAGGAGACAATTTTAAAATAGATAAAATACTCCAATGAATATTTTTATAAACTGAATTTAACATATAATGTCCTTTTTCTACAACACAGCAACACATTCGCTAAGTAATTATCCTCCATGGAAGTATAAAAGCTATTAAAAAAAAAAAAAGGCGCCATGACATGATGCTGCAATTTTTATAAAGATTAGAGAACAGTAATAAAGATCAAAATGTAATGTCTTATAAATATTCAGCACTATTAGACAATAACCAAGAAAACACCAGGGAAAAATTTTGTGTTCACAGATAATTTTTCCTAATATTAAAGGAAATGATCTTCACTTCTGAACATCTTTCTCAGTTGCCATTATAGTTTCTACTATTCACAAGAGTTGCAGTTGTTTAGTACTATTTCATAAATAAAGAGAAAGGAGAAAAATATTGCTGAAAATAACAGGAAAAACAAAAGCCTCAACAGAGTAAATTATTTTATATGCCATCTCTTTCCTCCATAATCACAGGACTGGAGCAATATCTGAAAACTGTATACATTAAGATCTGTTTAGTCAACAACTATTCTGCACTACAGAAAATAAAACTTATTTTTTCTATTTTCTGTAAAACCAATGACTTATTAGAACAAGATTACCGGTGTACAAAGCTACCACCATATATTGGATCACTACCATACACTGAATCAATTATTCCAATTATTCCAATTCATCTTTCCTATCTTTCTCCCTTCAGGTCAGAGCACATCTAACAACCTGCACATTTCAAATAACTAACACCTGCAAGTGACTTTAATAGTTTCAAGGACGAAAATAAATTTTATAGAAGCTTCTTCTAGTAATAGGAAAATTAGGTTATTAACAAGGCTTCCTATTTCATACTTTTTTTTCTGATTGCAAAATGAAAGTAAAAATTTTGAAAATACAGAACCGTATTTTTTTGAATAGTTGTTTTTTTTTTTAAAGATTTTATTTATTTGACAGAGATCACAAGTAGGCAGAGAGAAGGGAGGAAACAGGCCCCCCGCTGAGCAGAGAGCTCGATGCATGACTCGATCCCAGGACTCCGAGATCATGACCTGAGCTGAAGGCAGAGGCTTTAACCCACCAAGCCATCCAGGCACCCCCAGAACCGTATTTTTATTCATCCACAGATCTCACCACCCAGAAATCTTCGGTAACTTTCTGGACTTCCTTCCAAGAATTAAACTTCAATAATCTAATTAAATACTAATAAATATGTAGGGAAAAAAACAATGTACCTTCTTCATTCTGGCCATTTGATAACTTATATAAAACACTGATTACTAATGATATGACCTGTTAATTTCACAAAGATATCTGAGAAGTGGTGTGGGTGGGGGAGGGAGTCCCACAATTCGGAGACTTGTCCCTAGACTAAAATCCCTTTCACAATCTTTACAGCATCAACATTTTTAATGGCAGCAAGATCTGACGGTTCTTAGAACGGTATCAATAGTAACTTCGCTATATCAAACAGACTGTACTTTTAATTTCTTTCTCATAATTCAATGTCTATTTTCGGGGTAAGAAATAATATTTTAAAACAGCTTAAATTCAAAGACTCAACTATTTTCCTTGAAGTCCAGCATTCAAATTTTAGTATTTCTGGGTGGTGAGACAGTTCACCAGATAAAAGAATAACGTTTTTATATTCCAGAATTCTGTCATAAAAAGCCTATTCCTCAAATATAGCCACATTTTTTCTTTTGTTACAACCATTGTTTATGGAAGTATGCAGATGTTAGAATTACAAAGACTGATATGACTTCATTAACAACAAAAAAACCAATGATACTACTGCTAGCCAATTTTTTTCTTAAAATTTGAGACTGAACCTTACTTCTAGCTTCAACGGAGGCTTTTGTTGACTCAAAGCATCAAAGATCTTAAAATCCCATTCATTTTCTGCTGCTCAGTGGTTAACAAGTCTAAAACACAGTAACTCATATTTGTTACTCTGACCTTACACAAGCGCCTTTTAAAAGAAATCCCGCAACAAAGATTCAAGAAAGAATCCGCAAAGTTTGAGGAAAGAATTGTCTGTAAGTCAAGCATTTCCTGATAAGTGACAGGTCTGGCTGCCAGGAACACACTGCTGACCCTAGGAAGAGCCAAAACTCGAAACAAAATTTGCCACTTTTGTTACCTAGAAAAATTGGCTAAGAGGTGATAATGCATAACCAACGACGTGTCTTTAGTGGACGAATCAATATAAAGAAGGAGCGCCACGGATTTCAGCTTTGCTTTTGCCATTTTTGAAGAAAAGCTAATTGTTAGTGGCCATGTGACACTGTAAGATCCCAGAAAGGAAAGGGTGGGAGGGAGAGAGAGGAGTTCAAGGCAGTTCAGGGTCAGAACAAGCTCAGGCATCCTGTCATTAGCAAACGTTCCCCCAAGCTGAAGGCAAAATACCGCTTACACGAAAAGGAGTGGGTGAAAAGTAGGGGGGAGAATGAAGGGAAAACCACAAGGGAGTCAATGTGGCAGTGAGGGGGTGACAGGAGGCAGAGAATCTGGAGCTATCCAGCTGAGTTGGGGCGCAAAAGCGTTGGGCACAAAAATGCTGAGAAAAGCAACTGCAACGGAGACGACAATACTTGGCAGGTCCCCATCTTCCCCCTCCCCATCGGTTCTTTGGGTTTCCCACACTCCCTCCACCTCAGCCCTTGACCAACACTCAGGGGTGTGACCCGCTAGCGGGAGGCTGCGGTGATCTTTGTCTCGGCCGGCTCCCCACGCGAGGGCTCCTCCTCCTCCGCGCTCGCCACCCGCTCACACTCCCGGTGTCTCCAAGGAGCTGGACGCGCCGCGGCCACCACCGTCTCCTCGCCCACCTCCCGCGGACTCGCGCCCTTCTTTCCCCTCAGCCGCCCGCGCCTGCGGCTCCTCCCCCGCCGAGGGGAATCTTTGTGTCTCGGGGGACTTTCTGCCTCTTCCCTCCCTGGCCTCGCGGGGAGACCGGCCTCCCCCGGAGACCAAATGGTCAGCACGCACCGGGGGTGGCGGCGACTGCAGGCGCCTCCCGCGAAGGAGCCCGTCGGATACCCCACCCCACCCCACCCCCGGAAATGCCTGGGCGACCCGGGTTCGCGCTGGACCAGAGGGACAACAGGCACTCGCGAGCTCCCCGGGCCGCGCCTCCCTCTCTCAACTTCCCGGCCGGGCCTGAGCCTCCAGCGCCCGCCCCAGCCCTCTGTCCCAAGCACCCTCCCGCCCCCTTGGCTCAGGGTCCGCCGGACAGCAGGAAAAGCCCCGTGCGGTCGCCAGCCGCCAACTCACCAGCAAGTGCGGGGGCCGCGTCGCGAGGCGAGGCGCTGAGGGTGAGCGGCTCCGCCGACGCCCGCGGCGACCGGATGCAGGTCCGGGTCCCAGCGGCTGGCGGACCCAAGGCGCCTCTGAGGCGCAGGCCTCCGCAGCCGCCTTCCGGCTCTCGCCTAGGGTCCGGAGCCTTCGGGAGGGGCCGCGGGTCCCTCACGCGTTGCCAAGCCCCCCGGACAACATGGCTCCCGGGCCGCCGAGCCGCGCGGGCAGCCCACTAATCCCCTCGGAGGAACCCGGGCGGGAGCGCGGCTGGCAGGGAGGTGCCGAAGCCCGGCTGAGGCGGCCCGCCCGGACTAGGGCTCCTTCTTTGCTGTGGCCGGACCGTGAGGCGCTCAGGAGACGGCGGGCGGCCGCTTTCGTTCTCTGCGTGTGCGTCGTCTTCTCACTCGGCGGCTGCGGATTGACGCCTCCGCCTGTTCCCCGGAGGAGAGCGAGCGAGCGAGAAAAAAGACTTATATTGAAACGATCCAACCAGCAGCAGCTGAGAAAAGCAACCCGCCGCGGGAGCTTTCCCCACCCCCGCCTGAGCAGCTCGCCGCGGGCAGCGCGACCCCTGCTGGCGGCGGCAGAGGGGCGGAGCTGGCGGTCCAGGGGCGGGGCCTAGAGGGCGGGGCGGGGTATCCCCGGGAAACCCCCCGCCCCGAGGTGGGGGCCTTGTTCTCGCCTTGCTGGTTTGTGGGGTGGCGGGAGGGAGGTGAGAGGGGTGAATTGGTTAGGTAGTGCTACTCCACAGCAAGAAATTACCTGGGTAATTCCGCTCCTTCATCCTTCTCCCACCCCCCAACTAAACAAAAACTCTTGCCTAAATTATCCAATTATGTAATTCAGACACCAATGCCGCAGTTCTCTACCGGTTTTTTAGACAGTTGATGTCAGAGGGTCCGCACCTGATCATGTTCTTTGCAACTTTCCTCCTTTATTAGGGGTGGTTGGATGGGTACCTGTGCAGCAGTCATTCACGCACGCAGCATTTATTCATTTAATTTCTTTACATTGTGCTCTTGGCAATACACTAGGTCCTCAAAGAATGGAAGAGTCTAGCTGGGATGAAAGATTCTCAGTAAGCAGTTATAATAAAAATCTGAGCTTCATGAGAAAGGAAACACAAGGTGCTATATGAGAACAGAGAGGAACTACTGTTGCCCTTGGTTAGGTTTTGTTTTCTTGGGGGGAGGAGGCACCAAGAGGTTGGCCCAGTTTCTGTAAATATTTTTACTTTGTTCTTTCCCAGAAGCTAAAAGCTGGTTCAGGAATGAACAGCAGAGTGAAAGTGAAGACAAACTAAAGTAATATTGACCCATTTTTTTTTTCCACTAATAAGGATAAAAGCAGAAACTAAAAACAAACAAACCCCTAGAGGGAGATAATGAGAGGATAGAAAAGACAAGAATGGGGACCGGATGTGGACAACCTAAACAAAAAAAAATTTTAAACCACATAAAAATCTGCTAAAGTGAGATATAAATATTTTTCCATTTCAATACTCAGCAATAGACTTTGTAAGTTTTTAATGCAATTTCAAATCACATTATGTCCTAAGGACATCTGATAATTATCTTCTTGGATTCCTGGATGAATCCTTTCCCTCTGAAAATAATGTGTCCTGACTTCTTTCTCTTATTTTGTTGGACAAAGTTGAATGTATCTACTGTAATATCCAACAAAAATCATACATTTCAGTCAGACTTCTCCCATGCCTCTAAAATTACCAGGATCCATAAATTAGCAACATTTATGCTCTGTACATATTTAATACTTGCTTATCATTCTTATATGAATGCAAATATGGAACAGAACCTTTCCTTTAGAACAAGTGTGCTTTAAAAAACAAAACAAAACACTGTTAATGATGCTCTTCCAGTTGGTCCAAGTCAGAGACCTTTGTAACATATGAAGAATATAGCATCAGTGTTAGATAGCATCACTTTTAGAGGTCTTTTAAAGTTAGAGAGTTAGAAAAATTGGTATTTATATAAGGCCTACTTACATGCCAAGTATTCTTCACATACTTGTCTTATTTAAAAAAATAATTACCCTTTTTTGGTCCCTTAGTAAGTATTAAAAAGTATTAAAAATCATAATAAAAGTGACTCTACAGAAGGACATCCTGACTTTCACATCGATAATTCCCCTTTTATAGTACTAGATCAGAATTACTCCTTAGAAATCGAAAGATTGTCCTAATTGCCTCATCTAAAGCTGCTAAAGAGCACGCTTTCTTCTTCCTACATGTTTTATTACCATAATAAACATTTCATAATTAGAACTGAGATAATGATTGTATTGATTTATTTATTCTTTCCATTAACAAATATGTACTGACTGCATATGACGTGCCAGGCTCTGTTCTTAGGCACTGAAAATATAGAAGTGAACAAAACAGGCAAGATATTGCCCTTATGGAACTGTTTTCTAGCAATAAACATGTAATTTAAGGAATTCATAAGAACTTATAATCATGAGAAATATACTGAAGAAAACGAAGAACTAATGGAAAAGAAATTGGGCAAGAGGAACAGGACTTAAAGGGTGAGGTCCAGAAAGACCTGTTGAGCAGCAAAAGCTAAAAAGCCATGGGTTCTTCCTTTATATCCCTCAGTAGTTCATTTGGTCACAAAAAGGTCACATGAAAAAAGAAAATGTGGCATATACACATACAGGAATACTACTCAGTTGTAAAAAAAAAAAAAAGGAAGTGGTACAAAAACATGGATGAACCTTGAGAACATTATGCTAAGTGAAATAAGCCAATCACAGAAGGACAAATGCAACATAATTCCATTTATATGAAGTATCCCAAATAGTCAAACTCAGAAGCAGAAAGTAGAACAGTGAGTGCCAGAGGCTGAGGGGTGGGTGAAATGGGGAGTTGATGTTCAATGGGTATACGGTTTCAGTTATGCAAGATGAACAAATTCTAGAGATCTGCTGTACAACATTATGCCTATAGTTAACAATGCTGTAACGTACACTTAAAAATTTGTTAAGAGGGTAGATCTTATGTTATCCAGTCTTATCATAATTTTTTTTAAAAAGTCACAATCAAAATAATGAGTACATTTATTTAGTTACTTTTCTAAAGTGATTTAAAATTTGCCCATAATGTTTTTGGCATGCTAAGTTGGCTATAGACTTTCTTAACTTTGCAAAATAAATTATAAAATTACTTACGGCATTTCCCAAACTATGGTTAATAAATATTCCCTGGCACATGGTGAGAGAGAGAGTTGAGGAAGAATTCCAAGATCAAATCCATTGGGGAAATGCCACATCATCTCCCTTCGGGAAATTCACCACATACATTTGCATATTAAAAATTCTGAGAAGTTCTGAGATGGAAAGTAATGTTCATTCCAGTTAAACCAGTGTATCCCAAAATGTTTTGACCACAGAATAGCTTCATCACAGGATGTATATGAACATATTGAGGGAAACATGTGCTGATAAGCACAATTTGGGAAACTGCTCTCTTGGAGATTAGGCATTTACTCTCCAGCCTTGGGAAGGGGGCTCCTTGAAGGGGGAGAATGTGAAGATCACTGAACTTTGGACAGAGAAAGAGTAGAAGGGGATACAGTCAGAAAATCTGTTGTGCTTCACACTTTGGGAATGACAGAAGTCTGGGAAACAAATGTGGAACATACCCAGATAAGATATGGCAAAGAAATTTAAAGCTTGTTTTCGGTTGCTCTCCATCAGTGGTTCTCAAACAACGATCCCTGAATCAGTGGCAGCAGCAATATCACCTGGGAATTTCTTAGAAATTAAAATTCTCGGGACAGCTGGGTGCCTCAGTGGTGAAGCATCTGCCTTCGGTTTGGGTCATGCTGGGATCGAGTCCCACATTGGGACTTCCTCCTTGCTCAGCAGGAAGCCTGCTTCTTCCTCTGCCTGCTGTTCTCCCTGCTTGTGCTCTCTCTCTTGTTCTCTGACAAATAAATAAATAAAATCTTCAAAAAAAAAAAGAAAGAAATTAAAAAATTCTCAGGCTCCACTCTAGACCAACTGAATCAGAAACTCTGGGATGGAGCCCAGCAAACGGTTTTAACAAGTCTTCTAGAAATCTGCTACACAGTGAAGTTTGATTGAGAACCTCTGCTCTGTATAGCACCAATACATAACTTCATCTATTTACAAAAACAGTTTCCCACATGTCTGAATTTCTGGACCATTTCCAATTATTATGAGCTGTAAAAAATTCTCCAAGAAATGAGTTAAGTTACCAAATTGGGATAAAGCTTTTTCTCTGGTTTAATTCCCTATTTTGTTAGGCTGAACCATACGATAAATCTATTTGCTTGCAGTGAGAGTGAAGCAAAATAAGCTAAGGGCAGCAATTAACTATCTACCCTGTAATATCACCTGAGCAAAATAATTGTACTTTTTGTAAAAATGAAACTGCAGATGAGGAAAGAGTAGTATCAAAGGATTTTTTTAACCTGCTTTGAAAACAAAACAGGTAGCCTTACCTTAACATTTATTTTTTAATAAATATTTTGTACCATCCCAACGTTTGCAAAATAACTTTATGCCATTGCATAATGATACAGCTGTAGCCCATCACTTTCAGGGTTAACTACAGAGATTTGACAGACCCAGCCCTATTTAAAAATCATCAAAGTATCTCCATAGACACACAAGCTTCAAATTTGGGGAGAGAAATTTCTTTACTGTCTACATCTAAAATTTCTAATTTGCAGTACTAGATTTATATAAAGGCTTGGTAACATCTGAGAAATTTGGTATAGTCCAGGGAGCATTATAAAAAGCTTTCAGGAAAGTGATGTCATGTGTCCTCACAAAGGAAATGAATCCAGGAGCCAAACTCAGTGTTGGCAGTTAAGGAAAACATAATTTTCAAACATTCTGTTTCAAAATGAAGTTGTTCTCTAGTTGTTGACAAAATGCTTGGGGAGTGTTTGTCTCCAGGTTTCCAGTAAGGCTCCACATGAGTCTCTATTAAAAGACTAAGGAGGGATTAAATTATTTTTCTTTCTTTCCTTTTTAAACCTTGTGATATTAACTGCTCTTGATTAGATTGACGTTCTGCCTCCTGAAAGAAATCAGAGGTGGACTCTTCATCAAATAAAATATATTTAAAGCTGATTTGAGCTTCCTGAAATACAAAGCACAACATGAAGCCATCTTTAGATTTAACAAATTTCTGTCTTTAAAAACAAATGTTGTTGAAAAGTGGGAGTTAGGGCAGTACAGGTTTTTTCCCTCTTAAGCATGTTAAAAAGGAGGATGTGGCAATTAGCCATTTTCCTGGGGGATTGTCAGAATGATCACTGGCCTTTCATTCTTTTTAAAGAATGAGAGAAGGGAGGGAGTACAAAGAGGC